TTGTATTTGGGGTTCACCAAGTTTCTTGAATGTGTGTTTGTAGATTTTTTTATGTTTAGAAATTTATTAGCCATTATTCCTTCAGCTGTTTCCTGTGTCCTCTCCTGCCCCACCTTTGGGATCCTGTGTGTCTGCAAAGATCCAGATATGTCTCCTACTCTGAGGTGATTTGAGACAGCCTGTGAGGGAGGCTTAGAAAGGATTTGAATTGGTGGAAGCTTGTATAGAAGATGTGGCAGCTTATTTGATATAAGGGGATGAAGGGAGAAGGAGGACATCACGATTTTATGCCTGTGTGGCCAGGATGATGATGGCAAACATGGGGCATAAAAGAGGGAGGTCAGGACTGGCACTGTGGCCTAGCAGGTAAAGCCACCACCTGTGAGGCTAGCACCCCACTGTGGGCACCAGTTTGAGTTCCTGCTGCTCAGCTTTCAATCCAGCTCCCTGCTAATGCACCTGGGAAAGCAGCAGAAGATGACCCAAGTGCTTGCAAAGCCCCTGCACCCACATGGGAGACCCAGAAGAAGCTCCAAGCTCCTGGCTCCTGGCTCCGGACTGGCCCAGCTCCAGCAGTTGTAGCCATTCAGAGTGAACTAGCGGATGGAAGACCTTGTTTTCTAACTCTGTCTTGCAAACAAATCTTTTAAAAAGGCGGGGGGGGGGGGAGGCGGGAATTCATTGGACAGGAAGACGTTGAGTCCTTTCTTGGGTATGGCTGGGCCGGAGGTATTCTTGTGACCTTCGGACAGTGCAAAAGGCAGAGCTGGCAGGGGAGACCAGGTTTAGAGATGTGCAATACAGAGGTGGTAGATTCCTAACAAGGGACCTAAGAACACACAGCACCTCACTTGTAGCCTTTTCTTCTGAGGAAATAATGATCCCCAAAGATTCACAGAAGACTAACAGGAGCACTGCTCACAGTTAAAAGCAAGTTAGTAAATAAGTGTCCCACAAAGGAGAATTGACTAAATAAATGGAATATACAATGAAATATAATGCAGCCACTAAAAATGATGTATTAGAAGATTACTAACAATAGAAAAATGCTTACAGCGAGTACTGAAAGCTAGTTACAAGACTGCAATTTGGAATGTAATCTCATATTTGGTAAAATATAGGAATATGTGAGCAGAAGGAAAAGAAACATTGCCACATAACTTATCTTTGTGTGATAGTGTATATGTGTTTTTTCTTTCCTTATTTTTGCTTCTCTATACTTTCTAAATTCCCCACTCTAAACATGTTACTTTTATAATAAGAAAAATACCATTATAATTTTTGCAAAAGCTGAACTAGAAAAAAAGGCTGTGGACTTTCACAATGGTGTGTGGAAATAAGAGAAAATGGACCCTTACTCTAGAGTCAGGACTGTACACCTGCCTCGTTGGAAGGGGCGCTGCTGGAAGCAGAGCAGTCTGAACTCTGGGAGGCCTCTGCACTGAGTGATCTGAATCAGTGGTGCACTTAGAAGAGTACTTTCCTGGGGATATGGAGAAAAGGCAAGCAGGAATAGGTCAAGGAGTGACAGTTCTGGGAAAGCGTGGTGGCAGAGAGAAGGAGGAGAAGGAAAGTCACTCCCTGGCCGCAGGAGACTCACAACCACAGGTCCAGCCCCCAGCAAGACCTGTTTGTAAGAGGCAGGCAGCACCACCACACACAGTTCTCTGTACCAGCTGTTACTGTACATAGACCCAGACCTGTCGCCAACACCATGAGACCAGATAGCACATGAGACCAGATAGACCAGATAGCACACACCAGATAGCACTCTTCCTGAGTGGCAGGTGCCTCCAGAGATTGTTAAATTCTTATTCCTGGCCCAGCCCCCAACCATCTAAATCAGAGAATCTGGGGTGGAGGTGGGGGCCCAGGAATCTGTTCAAATTCAGGACGCAGAGGCATTAGGACACGTACCTGACCACACAGCTGACCTCCCCCTTAGGTGTCCTTGCCCACAGTCAGAGAGCACAGACTTCTACTGCAAGTTTCTTTAAACAGCACGACTGGATGTTCCAAGTCCAGGGTGTGGTGGAAACACATCTTGGGATCCAACTCGCCCATGGCCTTGTGTGTGCCCCGGCAGCTTCTGGAGCTGAGCAGTTGAAGACAGGCAGAGGGACAGCTTGCTGGAAGAGGTTTGGTCACGCGTCCCAATCCCCAGGGCTGAGGGCCCTGAGCAACCCTGCTCCAGGACGCCAGGCCACACAAGCTAAGGCTGGCTGGGTGGGAGAGTACCAGAGAGCGGGTAGGATCCCATCAGCCCAAGCGAGAGGCCTCTTGCTGAGAAGCTGATGTGAATTTTCAGAGACCAAAGCTCCTACAGAACCTTCTGCGAGAGGGGACCATCTGCCCCATCACAAACAATGGTGCCAGGTCTTGCTGTGGCTCCCAAAGCCTTGCTATCCTTCTAGTAATTCAGGTAACAGTTCACACTGCCCAACCCAGGACCTCAGCTTGGTCACCTGACTCGCTTAGTGACATAGCAGTGGAACTGATTTGCCACTGAATTGCAATCAGCCACTTAATGTCAGGGTGCCAGAATGAAGTACGAAGGACACAGAACAAGATATCAATGCTAAGGGTCTGGCGCTGTGGCACAGCGGGTTAACACCTTGGCCTGCAGTGCCGGCATCGCATATGGGCACCGGTTCAAGTCCCAGCTGCTCCACTTCCGAACTTTTATGGCCTGGGAAAGCAGTAGAAGATGGCCTAAGTGCTTGGGCTCCTGTACCCATGTAGGAGACCCAGAAGAAGCTCCTGGCTCCTGGCTTCGGATCAGCCCAGCTCAAGCTATTGTGGCCATTTTGGGAGTGAACCAGCAGATGGAAGATCGAGCCCCCCCCCACCTCTGCCTCTCTGTAAATCTGCCTTTCAAATAAATAAATAAATCTTTAAAAAAGAAAAAAGAAATCAGTGCTTGTTGTAATAAAACCCTGGGTCTTTGGGTTCATCAGTTACCACAGTGGACCTAGCCATGTTGACGTATAGACACAGCCTATTAGGACCATAAAAACTGTACAGTGGGGCCGGCTATGGTGCAGTGCGTAAAGCCACTGCCTGCAGTGCTGGCATCTCATAATGGGCACCATTCCAGTCCTGGCTGTTCCACTTCCAAACCAGCTCTCTGCTGTGGCCTGGGAAAGCAGTAGGGGATGGCCCAAGTGCTTGGGCTCCTGCACCCACATGGGAGACCCAGAAGAAGCTCCTGGCTCCTGGCTTTGGATTTGGCCCTGCCCCAGCCATTGCAGCCATTTGGGGAGTGAACCAGCAGATGGAAGGCCCTTCCCCCCACCGCCTTTGTAACTCAGCCTTTCAAATAAATAAATAAATATTAAAAATAAAGTGGAACCCTCAAACATTGCTTGGGAGTATGTAAAATATAAAAATAATATAAAAAAAAGTACAGCAATCTTGTTAGAAGTGACCCAATGGTGCCTTTTCATAGGAACTTAACTTAGCCTAATTACAGCCATGATGATGGGGCCTAGTCCCCAACTCAAAGGGGCCAAGTGAAAAAACGGATGAGCTCTCTCAGTGGAGATGAGTGGAACAGGTTCTTGCCTTCATGCAAAAAGCTCAGGTGTGAGAGACGGGAGTGGTCGGCAAGGCAGCACGAGTTAGTGGGGGTGGGGCGCCCAGAGAGGATCTGAGAGACAGTGCCCTGTGTACATGTGGACTGGAGCTTATAAGGGAATGGGGGAATGGGATCCTGTTCTTCCCGCCTTGTCTCCTTTCCTTGCCTTCCTCTTCCTGGACAAAGGGTTCGCCGAGTGCGAATTAGTTAAAATTCCTCCCAGGGTTTACTGCCTATGTTAGACTGGGCGCCCCACCTGGCAATGGGGGAAAGCAGTCCCCTTGGGGGAAGGCTGGGGCCACCTGCAGAGCTACTGGGATATGGCCAGGACTTTGTAGTGCAAAATACCCCATGCTTCTAAGGTGGGCCTCCAAGGCTTTTACCTTCCTTTTTGGAGAAACTTGTTTTCAGGCCCTCACTCACACATAGGCTAACTGTTTCTACTGTGTAAGCGCAATGTACCTCTCCCTCCCCTATCTTACCTGCCCAGCATCTCCTTCCCCAAGGGAACTTTTGCCTAACTATCTAGATATTAAGGAACTAAACTTCTGAGAGCCCTGCTGGGTCCACCTGCTGATCACTGCTCTGGGTATTAATAAACACTTTTGCTCCCTTCCTGTTTGAGTCCATCCTTGTGGGGGTAGGTGGCCTCAGGGAGACTTCTTTCTCACAAATACTAAGTTTTCAGACCCACTACCCCTAATGCGTGCCTCACCTTTGGGGAACGGGTTTTAATTTCTCCAGATGCTTGCTGCCACCATGCTGAGGCAGAGCCCCATCCTCTCACGGCTTCCCCTCTCTCCTGCCCATGCTTCCCCAGAAGGAGCCTGTTGGGGGCGAGGACCAACCTCTGCTGGAGGAGGCTGAAGCCAGCGGCCAGCACAGAACCCACTGTGGTTGCTCAGTGAGGCGGAGCTGAGCAGAGCAGAGCTTTTCCTCTGGGCACAACCACGCCAGGATGTGTGTTTTTTATGCATCACGTACTGCATTTACGAGGCTCACTGTGATCCCTGAGCTAGAATCTTCCACTTGTGAAGTCTTCGTCCTATCAGACTGTGAGCCCGCACGTGCAGGCCTTACCTCTGTGCTGCTGGGCTCTACACCCCAGCGCCCAGTGCCTGGTGAGGCAGCCCCTGCCTGCTACCCGTGTCACTGTCCCTCTCCTAAAGCCACCAGTTCTTTCGTGGAGGACTGCCATCAGGGCCTCGTCTAACCCAACCCCCCCCCCCCTCGCCCCACTGCCAGACTGTGAACGTATGGATGTAAGGATTCCATTTCTTTTCTTTTTTTTTATTTGTTAGAGATTTATTTATTTGAAAGGCAGAGAGAGAGAGAGAGAGAAAGAGAGAGAAAACACTTCCATTCACTGGTTCACTCCACAAATGGCAGCAAGCACTGGGGCTAGGCCAAGCTGACACCTGGCACCTGGACCCACCTGGGTCTCCCACATGGGTGGCAGGGGCCCAAGCACTTGGGATGTGGTCCACTGCCTTCCCAGGCGTGGTAGTTGGGAGCTGGATCGGAAGTGGAGCAGCCTAGGTTCAAACAGGAGCTCCAATATGGGATGCCAGAGTTGCCCTGGTGGCTTAACCCCCCGTATTCAGTGTCTAACTCGCCTGAACTTTTGGGGGACACATCCCAGCCATGGCAATGCATCCACCTCACTGTGCAACCAACCGATCCCTGAACATTTCCAATTGGTGTAAAACTGAAACTATGAGTATTGACCAAGTCCCCATTTCTGCTTCTCCCCAGCCTCTGACTACCACTCGGGTACTTTCTGTTTCTACAAACTTGGCTTCTCCAGACAGCCCCTGTCCGAAGGGTCGTACAGTATTTCTCCCTCTGCGACTGCCTTATTTCACTTGGCACAATGTCCTTGGAGTCCATCCCTGTGCCAGCACGTGTTAGAATTTCCTTCCTTTTTGAGGCCAAATACTATTCCACTGGGCCTAGAGGCCACATTTTCCTTGTCCATTTATCCAAAGGGAGGCACCAGCTGCTGTCACCTCTTGGCTACGGTGCATAATCTGCTATGGACATGACGTCCAAATACGGCGAGTGATCTTCAGGTTACCGTGAGCGTGGTTCGTCAAAGGCCAGTAGTGGACGCAGGAAGGCCGGAGTGGACCTGCTGGCTCTCAGGTTCACGCTTATGGTCAAGGCCCACCTGGCTTCAGAAGTCCTCCTGTCTTTCCTGCGCCCGCCACGTTCTCTTAGTCGGGAACACCAGCCGTCTCTGCGGGTTTCTCTCCCTGTCGGGGCCGTGAGGGTCGCCGGGGCGACTCCAGCCCTGAGCGACCGCAGCGGCTTCCGGAGAGCAGGGGCGATGGAGCTTGCGGCCCAAGGGGCTTTTGGGGGAAAAGCGTGTTTGACTTTCTATTCCCGGCAGCGCGAGGCCAAACGTCTACGCTTTTGAAGACGGATGAAAGCGTTTCTGTGCACGACGCTAGAATCTGTGAGGCCTTTTCTTTCTTCCTCTTTGAAAAACAGGAGCCCACAGCAAAACCCGGATGACTTGGCCCGGGAAAGGAATGCAAGGCGAGGGGCAAGGGCTCACCGCGGCGGGGCCCGGGGACCCGCAACCGGCGCGGAGACGGACGGCGGCGCCCGCGGGACCCCAGCGCTGGAAGGGGACGCCGAGGGTCCGAGGGTCGCGGCCTCGGATCGGCGTCTCGGGCCCCGCGCTGGACAGGGTCAGGACAGGAGTTTGGAGAGAAGCGGAGCCCAGCCAGGAGGCGCCCACCGCGTCGCTGGCCGCCGCGCCCCAGACATTCCGCTCCCGCCGCTGGAATGCGCGGCCCGGGCTCCCCGGGCGCCGCGGGCGGGCAGGGGCGGGGCGCCGGGGCGGGGCCCCCGGCCGCGGGACCTTTAAATTGGCCGCCTCTGCACGCGCCCCAGGCCTGCGCCTGCCCCTGCCCCAAGCTGAGCCCATCATGCGGCTCCCGCGCCTCCTCCTGGTGCTACGGCCGCTGCCGCTGCTGCTGCTGCTGCTGCTGCTGCTGCCGTCCCCCACCACCCCGGGCCCCCTGGCCCACCCGGTCTCCCGGCGGCTGGGGACCCGCGGCCCCGGGGGCAGCCCTGCACCCGCGGCGTCCACTCGTGCGCCCTACTCCGCAGGTACGGTCGGGCGTGGCGGGAGACGGCCCCAACCCGGGGGCAGCGCGCGGGGCGTCCGGCAGGGCAGGGGTGGGCATGGTCTGGGTCCGGCCAGGGGCGTGGGGGAGTCGCGCGGCTCTCAAGTTTCGCTGCATGAGGGCCTCCATCTCCTGCGCGAGGATCCTGCGGGGACCGGAGAAGAGTGGGGGGATCCTCTGGTCGGGCTAGAATCCAGGCCAGCTCCAGCGTCCGACCCCGGAGATCCGTCTCCCTGCCCCATGCCAGTCCCCGTCTCTTAGTTCAGCTGAACCAACCCTTCCTGAGATGCCCTTTTTAGCCCTCCTGGACTCCAGCACCCTGGGATCCTGTGGGGTCCTCCCCGTGCCCTCCGGTGCTCCAGTGGATTCGGCCAGGAAGGTGGGCATGGGTGTGAGGAGAGGCCAGGAGAGAACCCCGAGGAGCCCCCGGGTGCCGCCGACCTGCCCTGTAACAGTCCTGGTCTCAGCCCGGTCCGCCTCACCCTAACCAGATCCTCTGCCTGAGCCTAGGCTCTCTGAGATCCCCAGGGCCCCAAGACGCTTTGGGGTGTTTGGCGAACATGGCTTTGCTTTTGGGTCAGTGGGTTTCCCAGGCAGAGCAAAGCTCCCGGCGTCGCACACCAGGCAGCTCAGCCACTACCTCCATGCCGTGCCCTGGGAAACTGGGGCTATCACAGCGAAGGCACCTGCCAAGCAGGGTCAGAGCCCAGAGTGAAGCTCCGGGCCCCCAACCCCCAGGCAAGGGCTCTTGCTGGCTCCTACTGTGCTTTGCGTGATTTTACTTTTCTTAGCAAAGGCCAAGGGCAGTCTTGCTCAAGAGAGGCTGCACGCAACCAGTTGCTGGGGGTCCAGGGTTGACTGGCAGGTCTGTCCCTCCTGCACCTTCTGGCCAGATTGGAAGGAGCTCTAGGGACCATGGACTGCATCAGCCATGGATTGGAAGGAGCTCTAGGGACCGTGGACTGCATCAGCCGTGGATTAGAAGGAGCTCTAGGGACCGTGGACTGCATCAATCCCAGTGATTGAGGGGGCAGCTTTCAAATGCTGAAACCATTGCAGCTGAGGCAGGGGGTGCTGGGCTCAGAAGGGTTAAATGTGGCTAGTGTGGCCAGGATGGGGATGACTGTCCTGGAAGCTGACCTTCCCTTAGTCCTGACCCACCACCCTGGGAGATGGAGGAGAGATTCTGCACGGTGGCCTTGCCCTTCCATTACCCGAAATGCAGACCTGACCTTGGATGCTGGTCCCTTGGTGAGCACCACAGTCGACTCCTTTCCAGAGCCTGTCTTTCTGGTACCCAGAAGCCGCTGAGCTTTGCCACGGCCCTTTGTGTCCAGCAGGACTATGGGAGACTGGTGCTAGTGTGAGTGTGGAAACCTTTTGTGGAAAACTTTCTTTGTTCTTGAGGATCAAACTGCTGCTGTTTAGTAAATGGGAGTGGGATTATAAGCAACTCATGGGGCCGGCCTTGTGGCACAGCAGGTTAAGCTACCCGCGACACTGGCATCCCATGTCAGAGCACCAGCTGAGTCCTGGCTGCTCGCTTCTGACCCAGCTCCCTGCTATGGCCTGGGAAAGCAGCAGAAGATGGCCCAAGTCCTTGGGTCCGTGTTTTCCCTGTGGGAGACCCGGATGGAGTTCCTGGCTCCTGGCTCCTGGCTTCAGCCTGCCTTGGCCCAGGCTGTTGAGTTCCTTTGGGGAGTGAAGCAGTGGATCGAAAATCTCTTTCTCCCTCCAACCCACCGGGTCATTCTGCCTTTCAAATAAATAACTTTTTTTTTTGAATCAGTAATCTTTGTTGAGGGGTACCAATCAGGAAGGCACCAGATGTTCTCAGAATCCCTGCCACCCTGGTGAAGTGTCCTGGGTTTTCTGTTGCTTCCAGAACCAATTACCATGACTCTCGTGGCTTAAAACATCACAATGCAGAGTTCTGGGGGCGGACGCCAACTCTGGGCTCACTGGGGTGAAGTCAAGGCGTCAGCGGGCTCTGCTCCTGTCTGGGAGCTGCGGGAAGAATGTTCCCTGCTTTTCCAGCACGGAGAGTCCTGCCGCATTCCTAGGCTCCTGGCTGCCTCCACCCTCAAAGCAGCAACTGCAGGTTGAGTCCTTGTCGCATGGCATCAGCCCTCCTCTGCCTCCCTCTTCCACTTTAAGGGGCCTTGCAGGGGGCCCGCCCATGCCATCCATCTCCTTCCCATGGAGGTTTTCACCGCATCACACCTGCAAGGTCTCTTGCCCTGCAAGCTAACCCATGGGCACCTTTGCCGGGGGCATTTCTGCCCTCTGCACCTCCTGTTTGTAGCCCTCTGAAGACAGGATTCAGGTGCAGAGCCAAGTGCAGAAGGAAGAACTACATCCATGTTTAATTAGAAGAACACAACCGTGATATTCATAAGGTCACCATCTGGGTGTTAGTGCCGCGTTGTCAGTTCTAGGGTTTGTATCTTTTTATTTTCCTTTTGCACCAATCTTGTAAAATATCCAGACCCATCTCCAGGAAGGATTTCCCCGCACAGCTCTTCCTTGCTCCTGACTCCTGGGAATCTCTAAGGATGCAGTGAAATTCTGAGGTTGTTTAAAGAAAGATTTAAAATTCCCTTGCACTTAACCAAATGTATGACATAGGACATATTGCAGGGTGGTGCGTCAAAATCAACACGAGGTCCATGAGTTCATGTGGATTTTTGTGGTGGGAAATGTTGCCTCACAGAGATGCAGCACTGATGCAGTGCACAGCCCAGGTTGGGAGCCAGGAGGCCTGGATCCCGACCGTGCCCGGCTACTCTGTGGTCCTCACCTGACCCCAAAGTTCATCTGTGTGAAGTGGGCACGGGAGTCTCTGTACCCCAAGCACCACAGGGCTGTGTGTGGGTACTCTGTGATCCCCAAAATGTGACCCGAAGCGAGGTATTATTTCCTAATGCCTCCAGACGGTGGGATAGATCCAAGAGGGTAATTTTCAGCTTTTTTAGACAATGATACAGAGATGAAAATGCGTGCTCCAGATAAGGCATTTTATTCTATGAACTGCCTAGCCTAGGGACTTATCTTTATTTATTTATTTTTTTACAGGCAGAGTGGACAGTGAGAGAGAGAGACAGAGAGAAAGGTCTTCCTTCCGTTGGTTCACCCCCTAAATGGCTGCTATGGCCGGCGCTGTGCTGATCCAAAGCCAGGAGCCAGGTTCTTCCTCCTGGTCTCCCATGTAGGTGCAGGGCCCAAGGAACTGGGCCATCCTCTACTGCACTGCTGGGCCACAGCAGAGAGCTGGACTGGAAGAGGAGCAACCGGGACTGTACTGGTGCCCCAACTGTGACTAGAACCCGGGGTGCCAGCGCCGCAGGCAGAGGATCAGCCTAGTGAGCCGCGGCGCCGGCTGGGATTTATCTTGAGTCAAAACTTTACTCTCTGTGTAAACTGCCCTCTTGGAGTTGCATCAGCTTCCAGCCCCTTCTTAGGGAAGAGCCCTGTTTGACGCTTCATGCCCAAGGGTCTCATTTGCATTCAGGGCTGCACGTGTGTGCATATGCGTGGGCATGTGTGCGCCTGTGCTGTGCATGTGTGTATGTATGTTGAGCAAGAAGGGGGCATGGCTTGCAAAAGTACCTGGTTTGTTTCTTATCTTGTCTTCATGGAGGACTTACCAGCTGAGTTAAGGAAAACAGCAAAGAATAGATGACAGGGCCGGCTCTGTGGCATAGTGGGTAAAGCCACAGCCTACAGTGCCAGCATTCCTTATGGGTACCAGTTCAAGTCCCGGCTGCTCCACTTCCGATCTGCTATGGCCTGGGAAAGCAGTGGAAGATGGCCCAAGTCCTTGGGCCGCTGCACTCATGTGAGAGACCTGGAAAAAGCTCCTGGCTCCTGGCTTCAGATTGGCACAGCTCTGGCCATTGCAGCCAATTGGGGAGTGAACCAATGGATGGAAAATTCTCTCTCTCTCTCTCTCTCTCTCTCTCTCTCTCTCTCTGTACAACCCTGCCTTTGAAATAAATAAATAAATCTTTAAACAAAAATAAAGACAGGGAAGCCACCCATAGCACGTAGAGTGTCTTCCTCAATCTCTGCCTTTGGATGCCTGAACAGGGCTGGTGTGGTGAGGCTGACCATCGTAGACCCTGCTCAGGGACGCCTGGTCTCATCTCCTCAGATAGCCGAGGTGCCCGAGAGATGTCTGGGTTCCATTCACTCCCAGGAGTCACGAGGGACCTTGGAGCAAGCCCTAAGTGTTTAAGTGAGATTTCAGGGCTCAGCCAGCCTATAGGTGAGGGATCCGGGAGACCCCACAGCTCTTTGTGCACTGTTGCTAGGGGATGCTGAGTGTCTTGGTGCTTTCAACACCCAGATGGGGGAGGGTAGTGGGGAGGGCAGCAGGGGTTGGGGGCTGCGCCCAGCCTGGCCTCCTGGCGTTCTGTGGGAGTGGGGACTGGCCCGTTGGTCTTATCCCTGCCTGGTCTTTTCTGCTCCCATGCCCTTCTTGGCAGGTGTTTGCAAGAGCAGGCCGCTGGACTTGGTCTTTATCATCGACAGTTCTCGGAGTGTACGGCCTCTGGAGTTCACCAAGGTGAAAACCTTTGTCTCTCGGATCATCGACACGCTGGACATCGGGGCGGCCGGCACGCGGGTGGCCGTGGTGAACTACGCGAGCACCGTGAAGATAGAGTTCCAGCTCCAGACCTACTCGGACAAGCAGTCCCTGAAGCAGGCCGTGGCGCGGATCACACCCTTGTCTACAGGCACCATGTCGGGGCTGGCCATCCAGACAGCCATGGAGGAGGTCTTCACGGTGGAGGCGGGAGCCCGGGGGCCTGCTTCCAACATCCCTAAGGTGGCCATCATCGTGACAGACGGGCGGCCCCAGGACCAGGTGAATGAGGTGGCGGCTCGGGCCCGGGCATCCGGCATTGAGCTCTATGCTGTGGGTGTGGACCGGGCAGACAAGGAGTCCCTCCAGATGATGGCCAGCGATCCCCTGGACGAGCACGTGTTGTACGTGGAGACTTACGGGGTCATCGAGAAACTGTCCTCCAGGTTCCAGGAAACCTTCTGTGGTAAGTCAGTAGGTCTTTCTAGGATGTTATAGGCAAGCATTAGGTAACCAGAGAAAGAGAGATTTATTCATTTTTTTTCCTTTGGTAGAAATGTTATGGGAAAATTAAATATATGCAATGGTTTTTGGGCGACTTTCCCCTATTTAAACACAGCTATGTTGGTGTGGGAATATAAGAGCTGCATTATATGGAACTTGGTTTGCTCATAAAGTCTCCATGTTTGCATTACAAGTGGGAAGGTCTGGAAATGTCCAGGATAAATAATCCTGCTGTTGCCTGATGGGATCAGAAAAAATAAAACAAAAATCAAGACGCCTCTCTCCAGATATTTTCTTTCACTTTACCATCTCCAGGTGGAACAGAACCCCACTTGTTCTCCTTCCAGAGGTGGGGGTGATGGCTGTGCACGGCAGACAGCGGCTTGTGGTCCAGCATAACCATGGGTGTGGACCTGTGCAGATGGTGGCTGGTTTTCCAATTGGCTCTTTCTCTGGTTATTTCTCTGTGGAAGCACAGGATCTGAGACTGAGAAGACTGGGGGTCTCAGCTCACTTGTGAGACAGCAGGGAACAGATTTTGAAAAAAAATCATTGTTACTCTCCATTAATTTCTTTTTTTTTTCTTTTTTTCTTCTTCTTCTTTTTTTTTTTTTTTTGACAGGCAGAATGGACAGTGAGAGAGAGAGACAGAGAGAAAGGTCTTCCTTTGCCGTTGGTTCACCCTCCAATGGCCGCCACGGCCGGCGCACCTCGCTGACCCGAAGGCAGGAGCCAGGTACTTATCCTGGTCTCCCATGGGGTGCAGGGCCCAAGTACTTGGGCCATCCTCCACTGCACTCCCTGGCCACAGCAGAGAGCTGGCCTGGAAGAGGGGCAACCGGGACAGAATCCGGTGCCCCTACCGGGACTAGAACCTGGTGTGCCGGTGCCGCAAGGTGGAGGATTAGCCTAGTGCCGGCCACTCTCCATTAATTTCTTTCTTCCTTTAGCACGGAGTTTGAATATGAATGTTGCTAATTTCATGGGAATTTTTGAGCATGAATTAGCCAAATCCATGATATGAATTCATTCAAGGATGGGGTTTATTTTCAGTCACTGTCAGAATTATGATTTGTGGGAGTCATGCTTTATTTTTTGTCATTTGGTGATAACTTTTTGAAGCCCTCTATGAAATTATCCAAGGAGGTGTGGACCAATGTCTAGTTCAGGTGAATTTTCACACGTAGATACCTTTTTGCCCACATTGTGTGTTCAGCATGCGTTGATCACTGATGATACAAAGATAAAAGTGGTCCCCACCATTCAGTGACATCTGGCGCCGGGAGGGAGACAAACCAGAAGTGAGCCGGTTGGGACAGCTGTGCATGGCAAGCAGAGTCTGCATGGAGATTACTGTGAAGCCCAGCGACAGTGCTGCGTCAGGAAATGGGAGATGAAGTCCTGGCCTGAGGCGAAGCCTGGCCTCGTCTCAGCCAGACCTGGCCGGGATGCCCTGTGTTTCCTGCCCAGCACGCTGGGCCCTCACAAGCTGTCACTGGCTTTGGTGGCATCTACTTGGCATTCATGAGCTTCCAAAAGAAAGTGGCTTTCTTTCTCCCAGGAAAGCCCCCAGGCTTGTTTGTGGGGAGAGCTTAGGGATGCTGGTCTGCGGCAGAGGGCAGAGGCGGGTCTCAACGCTAGCACGGGGGGTGGGCGAGAAATCATAAAGCAGCGAGCAGCGAGTCCGTAAAAGAGATCCTTGTTCTGGGGGAAAGATGCCTTCCCTATGGAAAAAGACTGAGGGGCAGCTTGTTGTAGTCCACAGGCTGGGGAGATCACGCTGTGAAAAGGCCCTTCTTGGGAAAATATTGGCTTTGTCCTGTGGCCAAGGGCAATGAGGCTGGGTTACCTGCCTGGGGAGCGCCAGCCTCCTCCAATAGGCCTCCTTGGTTTCTCAGAAATGACTAAATTCATTGATTCATCTTTCAAAACAAGTCACTAGGAGAAACCCCAATGAGATGTAAATGGGTCCAGGACCCAAACGATGTAAGCTTAGCTAACAGAATCTCATTTATTTTGTCCTTCCTTGTTTTCAAACAACCTGTTTGTATTTAACGCGGGAGTTCATTCTTACAGATACCAGAGCCTTGAGGCTGAAGACATAAGACATGTGGCCTCTGCCACCCGTGTTGCGTGTTCTGAAGGGGGCTCCCCGATTGCCTTCCACCATTTGCTTGTTCCCACATGTGTCACCTGGCAGGTGTGAATGAGTGGCAGGCCCAGTGGCACGCCCGTGTGCGGATGCTGTTTAGATGCAAAGTGCAGAACCCGGGAACCGGGTTGTAGTTGCAATGGGGCGACTACCTCATGGCACTGCAGGCAGACACACTTCCAGGTCAGATGGCCGGGAAGCAGATGCCTTTTGCATGGGCAGGTGGACGAAGCTGAATATCACATCCACCTGCCTGATCCGTGGGTCCACAGTCAGAGTTCCCTTCTGCTCTGAGGAAGTCCACAGCAAAATCTGTCCTTTCTGAAGTGAGCACCCTTTCTGCTTTGAGACTGATGCTCTAAGAGGCCCGAGGTAGAAGACACATAGTCGAGTCTTGGTGTGAATGTAGGGAATTGGAAAGGCACCTGAAGAGCGATGCCTTTGGGATGGGGACAAAGGTTCTGCAATGTTTCTTGCGCGTTGACACCATCACTCCCTCCCTTTGCGCAGCTGTGGACCCGTGTGTGCTTGGCACGCACCAGTGCCAGCACGTGTGCATCAGTGATGGGGACGGCAGGCACCACTGCGAGTGTAGCCAAGGATACACCTTGAACGCCGACAAGAGAACGTGTTCAGGTGAGGCCTGCTGGGGCGCCAGGGCTTGCTAGAAGTTATCTGGGGGGCCATATGCTCCAGGGTGTGGATTGGCCTCACGCTTCAACTCCCTGGCCCTTTTCTGCCTCATTGCCTTTGGCTGGTGTTCTTTTGATGATCAAACATTTTCCTTGAAAGGGAACACAGGGATAAGATTGAGATAAAACATAAGCCAGCTATTACAGTACTTAATACTAGTGTCAAAGGAAAGAGTTAGAAGGGGCAAAGGCTGGTAAGGATGAGCTCCTTTGGGAATTTGGAGTTTTTCCTGGATTTCATGTAATTAAGTACAAGCTATGGCTTCCTCTGTAGGGTCGTAGATGCTCATGGAATGTGGAAGGAAAAGGAAATTTTGAGAAGTCCCTCACTAATCTGGCACATGGAGCCAGTGAAGGATGGGGAGTCAGTTCATTTGTTGTAGTCCACAGGCTGGGAAGATCATGCCGTGAAAAGGCCCTTCTTGGGAAAATATTGGCTTTGTCCTGTGGCCAAGGGCAATGAGGCTGGGTTACCTGCCTGGGGAGCGCCAGCCTCCTCCAATAGGCCTCCTTGGTTTCTCAGAAATGACTAAATTCATTGATTCATCTTTCAAAGCAAGTCACCAGGAGAAACCCTAACGAGATGTAAATGGGTCCAGGACCCAAACAATGTAAGCTTAGCTAACAGAATCTCATTTATTTTGTCCTTCCTTGTTTTCAAACAACCTGTTTGTATTTAACGCGGGAGTCCATTCTTACAGATACCAGAGCCTTGAGGCTGAAGACATAAGACATGTGGCCTCTGCCACCCGTGTTGCGTGTTCTGAAGGCAGCTCCCCGATGGCCTTCCACCATTTGCTTGTTCCCACATGTGTCACCTGGCAGGTGTGAATGAGTGGCAGGCCCAGTGGCACGCCCGTGCACGGATGCTGTTTAGATGCAAAGTGCAGAACCCAGGAACCGGGTTGTAGTTGCAATGGGGCGACTACCTCATGGCACTGCAGGCAGACACACTTCCAGGTCAGATGGCCGGGAAGCAGATGCCTTTTGCATGGGCAGGTGGACGAAGCTGAATATCACATCCACCTGCCTGATCCGCGGGTCCACAGTCAGAGTTCCCTTCTGCTCTGAGGAAGTCGACAGCAAAATCTGTCCTTTCTGAAGTGAGCACCCTTTCTGCTTTGAGACTGACGCTCTAAGAGGCCCGAGGTAGAAGACACATAGTCGAGTCTTGGTGTGAATGTAGGGAATTGGAAAGGCACCTGAAGAGCGATGCCTCTGGGATGGGGACAAAGGTTCTGCAATGTTTCTTGCGCGTTGACGCCGTCGCTCCCTCCCTTTGCGCAGCTGTGGACCCATGTGTGCTTGGCACGCACCAGTGCCAGCACGTGTGCATCAGTGATGGGGACGGCAGGCACCACTGCGAGTGTAGCCAAGGATACACCTTGAACGCCGACAAGAGAACGTGTTCAGGTGAGGCTTGCTGGGGCGCCAGGGCCTGCTAGAAGTTATCTGGGGGGCCATACGCTCCAGGGTGTGGATTGGCCTCACGCTTCGACTCCCTGGCCCTTTTCTGCCTCATTGCCTTTGGCTGGTGTTCTTTCGATGATCAAACATTTTCCTTGAAAGGGAACACAGGGATAAGATTGAGATAAAACATAAGCCAGCTATTACAGTACTTAATACTAGTGTCAAAGGAAAGAGTTAGAAGGGGCAAAGGCTGGTAAGGATGAGCTCCTTTGGGAATTTGGAGTTTTTCCTGGATTTCATGTAATTAAGTAAAAGCTATGGCTTCCTCTGTAGGGTCGTAGATGCTCATGGAATGGAAAAGGAAATTTTGAGAAGTCCCTCACTAATCTGGCACATGGAGCCAGTGAAGGATGGGGAGTCAGTTCATTTGTTTTTAAACCCTAGGAAAAAGTATTTCAAAGAGGCTGCCCTTGATCTCAGAAACTAAGCAAGGTTGGGCCTGGTTAGACTTGGATGGGAGAGGAAGAAAATTTAGAGATCATTTACTTCTACCTACTCACTTCCAACTGAGATGCAAAGAAGAGGCTTACCCACATCACCAAAAAATTGGTTCCCAACTCCGAGTCCAGTCCACTTTCTCTGTACCAAGCTGCCCCGCCCGCTGCACTTGCCGTTTCATTATCAGTGTGTGTGTGTAAGAGTGTGGCTCATCATTGTTTGTTTACCCCACGCTGTCTCTTTTAACCTGTTCACATTTGTCCTGGCCATCTTTTATTAGCTATCAATAAGTGCGCTCTTAACACTCATGGATGTGAACACATCTGTGTGAATGACAGAACTGGCTCTTACCATTGCGAGTGCTACAATGGTTACACCTTGAATGAAGACAGAAAAACCTGCTCAGGTGAGTGGAGGAGGAGTCCCTACAGCCGCTCCTTGCTTGTCCACCCCGTGTTGAGAGTGGAGGGGACTTGGCCTGGGACCTTGGTCTGTTTTCTTCTGCTGCCACCTTTGGGCTTTTCCCATTTCTAAAAAAAGTATTTTTATTTATTTAATTGAGAGACAGATGGAAAGAGATCTTTCTTTGCTGGTTCACTCTCCAGATGCCTGCAGCAGCTGGGGCTGGGCCAGGCCAAGGCAGGGAGCTGGGAGCTTAATCGAGTTCTGCCATGTGGGACATGGGGACCCAAGTACTTGAGCCATCACCTGTTGCCTCCCAGGATGTGCATTATCAGGAAGCTGGAACAGAAAGTGGAATTGGGACTCAAACCCAGACAATCTAATATGGGGTGTGGGTATCCCAAGCAGAGTGCTAAGTGTCGTGCTAAAGGCCCACCCCTTTTAAAATATTTATTTATATATTTATTATTTAAAAGTCAGAGAGACAGAGAGATCTCCTATCTGCTAGTTAACTCTGCAAATGCACACAACAATTAGGGCTGGGCCAGGCTGAGTCTGTGTCTCCCATGTGAGTGGAAAAGCACTTGAGCACTCGAGCTATCCCCTGCTGCCTTCCAGGGTACACATTAAAAGGTCGCTGGGGCCGGCGCTGCGGCTCACTAGGCTAATCCTCCGCCTGCGGCACCGGCATACCGGGTTCTAGTCCCGGTCGGGGCGCCGGATTCTGTCCCAGTTGCCCCTCTTCCAGGCCAGTTCTCTGCTGTGGCCAGGGAGTGCAGTGGAGGATGGCCCAGGTGCTTGGGCCCTGCACCCACATGGGAGACCAGGAGAAGCACGTGGCTCCTGCCATCGGATCAGCGCGGTGCGCCGGCCACAGCACGCCGGCCACGGCGGCCATTGGAGGGTAAACCAACGGCAAAGGAAGACCTTTCTCTCTGTCTCTCTCTCTCACTGTCCATTCTGCTTGTCAAAAAAAAAAAAAAAAAAAAAAGACGCTGGAAGTGGGAGTGGACCTGGCACTCGAACCCAGGCATTCTGATATGGGTTGTTGCCATCAAGCAGTGTCTTAACCATTAGGCCAAATGCTTGTCCCTGCTGTGCCTGGTAGTAATAGTAATGCTTGCGTCTAATGACTCACTTGGATAAATGAGTTGCTCCTGGGCCTGGCGCCGTGGGTCACTTGGCTAATCCTCTGCCTGCAGCACCGGCATCCCATATGGGCACTGAGTTCTAGTCGCGGTTGCTCCTCTTCCAGTCCAGCTCTCTGCTGTGTCCCGGGAGGGCAGTGGAGGATGGCCCAAGTACTTGGGCCCCTGCCCCGCATGGGAGACCAGGAGGAGGTACCTGGCTCCTGGGTTCAGATTGATACAGTGCTGGCTGTCGCAGCCATTTGCAGGGTGAACCGACGAACAGAAGGAAGACCTTTCTCTCTGTCTCTCTCTCACTGTCTATAACTCTCCCATGTGGGTGCAGGGGCCCTAGCACTGGGGCCATCCTCTGCTGCTTTCCCAGGCTCATTAGGAGGGAGCTGGATTGGAAGTGGAGCAACTGAGACTCGAACCTGTGCCTATATGGGATGCTGGCATTGCTGATGTTGGCTTAACCTGCTGTACCACAACACCGGCCCTGAAGGAGCCCAGGTTGGACCCTGAATCAGACAGCGGACATTCCTGGGTTGATTGGCAACATCGAATGAGTCTGTAGATTAGTACATTGGGTTGCATTCACATGGAAGTCCTGCTTTTCACAATCATACTACTGTTGTCAAAGTGTTAACATTTGGGGAAACAACACTTTTTTTTTTTTTCAATGATTTTGTAAGTCTGAACTTATTTAAAACATGAAAAGTTCAGAAAATAGGATAGAGTTGGAAGCATTTCAGGCCAGAGGAGATGCATTGAGTGCAAATTTGGGCCTCGAGTTCTGGGTTCGTTGCTCTTCTCTGGACTCATTTGCCTCCCTGAGCAAGCAGGAGAGCAGTGGACTGGACTTCTTCAAACTCAAGTTCTGTTTTTCTGATCCTAGTGCAATGAGCCACACAACTGCTGGTCTCCCTCTGAATTGAGGTAACTGGTAAACCTTAAAGGAGTGTTGTAGAAAGCATTTAGCAGATAGTAAGGTTATGGAAGCTCAGCATCGGTGGTTTTGACAAGGAACTGGGGATGGTCGGAGAATATTTATTTACCCCAGCTAACTCCTGCTCAGCATGAATAGTGCTGTTTGCTTTGAACAGTTTCCAAAAAGTTTTGCTCTTACATATTTCTAGTAGCAGAGAAGTTTTCTATCTATGGATGATAAGACACGCTACCACATTTTGTTTCTCTTTTCTTGCACCTTTGTTTGACAGCTCAAGATAAATGTGCTTCTGGCACCCATGGGTGCCAGCACCTTTGTGTGAACGACAGAGACGGCTCCCATCACTGTGAATGCTATGAGGGCTACACGCTGAATGCAGATAAAAAGACGTGTTCAGGTGAGCTCGGCGCAACACACTCTCATCTCTGCCTGACTCTGTGGCAGTGAAACTAAGTTGCAGTTCGCCAGAAGCCAGGTTCTTCAAGGTAACTTGGGGATCAGATCTTCTACCCTGCATGTAGATTGAAGCACACCCTGCCCAAAGGGTGGTGAGCCCAGTGCGTTTTGCAAACATAGATTACTTCAGAAAATTACTGTGAAATGGGTAGGGAATGGGGGATATGAGAAAAGTCCGTTAAATGTAGAGTCCTTGTCCAGGAAAAACTTAGAGCTACGCACACTGGGGACTCTTGAAGTCAGTGGGAGACTTCGGAGGAGGTCAGTTGGACAGTAACCATTTGGTGTGATAGGCAGAACTGATCGTCTTCCAGCTAAAACTTGGCCTAGAACTCTTCTGTAGCGTTCATCTTACAGCTGCCTCGCTCTAGCAAAGGAGACTTTGTCAGTGGCTGAATTGGACCCACACAGATGTTCCAGTAACTTTGCAACAAGTCATTCCCTGCTGTTTCTACACGATCACTCTTAGTGAATCTGAGCCTTGTGACTTGGCTAACCAGCCCATGCCAGGACTGCTAATCCTCATTAATTTGATTTAAACTCACTGGTGGAACAGGGTGGCATTTATAAATGGAAGAACATACCTAAGAGAAGTTCCTAGCTCTCTAGGTGGTGTGTGCACTGGGTGCGTTGAATATTTTTTTTTGCTTCAACGTATATTTTCCTCTTCTTGAGGACGCACTCCTGTGCTCTGGGATCTTATCAAGACAGATGTGGGATGCGTTTCTTAGAAATTACAGTCAGTGTGCATTGAGCAGACGTGCCCCAAGCACTGTGAGGACCCAGAAGACGTGTGATCACAGCCTGGGTGCAGAGAGCCAGCTCCTTTGGGAAGCAGAGAGGAAGGCGCTCCGGAGAGCGAGTGGCAGGAGCTGAGGGCTGTAAGTGTGGCAGAGCCTGGGAGGGACCCAGGGCGCTGGGGCCGCAGCTGGGCCCTGAGAGGAGAGGAGAGCAGCAGGGCAGGACCGGCTTGTGCTGGTTTGTCCAGGGGAGTGGGACAGGGCCCGCTGGGGTGGAGAGGGCTCACCTGCGGCCCTGCTCCTCAAACTGGTTCCAAGGATCCCAGCTGCAGATGTCAGGGACATTGAGGAGCTGCAAAAAGGAAACAAACCCCAAATTCGTTTAAACTAACAGATACTATGGAATAGAGCGAAGCCCGTTACTTCCAGAAAACATAAAAGAGAAGTGTGACTTAAGGCTGACCCCCGAGGCCGCAGTCCCAGGGGACTGCTGCCAGCACTCCTCAGAGCCTCCTATGGGCACGCCTTGTGCTAGGCGTTTGAGACACAATCGTGCCTTTAATCTGTGATCTCAGCAACTTTAGGAGGAAGCTGTGGCACAGGCGGGGTGAGTTGCTTGCCCGGGGTGCTTGGTTGGTAGGGAGTAGAGCCAGGGTTTGAAGCCAGGCACTTGCTCCAGCGTTCCATACACTCTTAACCACTGAGCCACACTGCCTCATTGTACAAAGCACAGGTTAGCACAAAGGGATAGGAGAGAAAGACAGGGTGACAGGAAACTGAGGGTGTCTATGCTTTAGTTTTTTTTTTTTTTTTTTGTTAAAGATTTATTGATTTACCTGAAAGGCAGAGTTACAGAGAAAGAGAGGGAGAGATGGAGAGAGAGAGAGAGGTCGTCCGTTCCTCTGTTTTATTCTCCAAATGGCCACCATGGCCAGAGCCGGGCCAGTCCAAAGCTAGGAGCCAGGAGCTTCTTCCGGGTTTCCCATGTGGGTGCAGGGGCTCAAGCACTTGGGCCATCTTCCACTGCTTTCTCAGGCATATTATAAGGGAGCAGGATGGGAAGTGGAGCAGCCAGGAGTCAAACTGGCACCCATATGGAATACGAGAGGCACAGGCAGTGGCTTTACCTGCCGTGCCACAACGCTGACCACTGTGCTTTAGTTTTGAAAATAATTTTTTATTTATTTGAGAGTGAGAGGCCACTGTCATTTGCTGGTTCACTCCTCAAATGCCCGCAGTGGCTGGAGTTGGAGCCAGGAGCCGGGAACTCAATTCAGGTCTCCTACACAGGTGGCAGGAATCCAATTACTTGACCCATTGCCACCACCTCCCAGGGTCTGCATTGGTGGGAAGCTAGAGTCAGGAGCCAGAGCCAGGAATCGCACCCAGACACAATGTGGGCATCTTAGTTGGAGGCTGTACACCCACTCCCTGTACTAAACATTTTAAAGTAATAATGAATACTGTTCTAATGCTGAAGTGTATACCGTAGGTCTCATCATCCCTCGTGGCCTGATTTCTCCTTGCGGGGAGGCGGGAAGGCTTCACGTGGAGCCCCAGCCCGGGGCAGGGGCTGGAAGCACATCCCGTGTTACCTGTTGCCTGGGTACTGAGCTAGGATGTGAGGGAAGAGGAAACACTGTGCTCTGAGGCATTTTACTGAACAAAGTCTGAATTGCAGTGATGGTCGGGAGCGTCCGTGTTAGGGATGGAAAGGAGTTTTTGCGTAGATTATACAGAACCTCGCATCTCACACAACGCTGTTCTGAGGCGACAGGGAGCCATGGGAGGTTTTTGGGCATGGAATGACGCTGAAGAGGAGATTAGAGGGGAATGAAGAAAACTACGATGGCTCCTGCAGTGGCAAAGGAAGAAACTGCGTCTCTCAGGAAGCCTTCCTGGTTCTCCTCAGGGCAGAGTTGCTGTAGTCACTTGTCCTGGGCCAGACCGGACACAGGAGCAGTCTGGCACTTAGCCCTTGGGCCGCTGTCTTCCTCCTTGACCAATTATTTCCTTGTGGTAGATAATACGTATGTCCTGATCCAGCCCTACAGATCGCAAATATTAATATCATTAACACTGCGATTGTTCTTCTCTCTATCTGTGCTCGTGTGTTTGTGTGTGTGTGTGTGTGTCTGTGTCACTGTTTTCCCTCCCATGTTGTAAGCTGTCGAGGGCAGGCTGTTGGTCAGTAGCCCCTGTTTGTGTAGCATGGAACTTAGCTCCCCGTGCAATTAGGTCAATTATTTGTGGTGATGGCGATGATGATCCACGAATAGCTGGAGATGCCGGAGATGCCGATAGTCACCGGGAAGGCAAAGGTGAGTGCTGCTGGAGGACGGCCAAGAGACCATGGAGGATGGCCAGGGACACCTGTGTGTTAGGAGAAGGGGAGGCATCCTCAGAGCTCTGCACGAGAGAGGAAGGACGGGGAGTCTGTGACGGCGAGGATGGTGAGGCCAAGGGAGCTGAGACGTGGAAAAGGAACCGGCTTCCGTCCTGAAACACAGGGCTGATTCGCTGTCGGCCCCACACCGCAGCTTCTTTCTCCCGCACGTTTGTGTTTCGTTTTCTCTGTGACTGACCACGACTGTTCTCTTCCCCAGTGCGTGACAAGTGTGCTCTGGGCACCCACGGCTGCCAGCACGTGTGCGTGAGCGACGGGACGGCGTCCTACCACTGTGATTGCTTTCCTGGCTACTCCCTGAATGAGGACAGGAAGACGTGTTCAGGTGAAGATGGGCCTGAAAGACTTTTTTGTTTGGTGGGAGACTCTTCGAGGCATGGGCTTTTCTTCCTTCTGGTTCCAAGCACAGACACGATCCTTTCTCCTGGGCAGAATGCTAGCGGTTCGCAGTTGGCTGCAGAATAGAGCAGTGGTCCTCCTGGGCCACGTAGCATCCGCCTTCCCGCATCCAATTCCATCCTCTTTCTTTTTTCACTTGAATTAAAGTCTCTCTCTAAGACTGGATTTATTTCTTTTTTATTGTGATAAACACAACATCAAATTTACTTTTGATCATTTTTAAGTGTATAGTTCAGTGGCGTAAAGTACCTTCAGTTGTACAATTGTTAGCACCATCCATTGCCAGAATTTTTCATCATCTCAAACTAAAACCTTGTACCCATTAATCCATTACTGCCCACTCCCCACTGCCCCCAGCTCCTGGTAGCCGCTGTCCCACTGACCCAGCTTCATTTCCTTCGAAAGCTTCTTTTCTGCTATATTTGCCCCAGACCACTCCTTCTCCCCGATCTTGTGGTGTGTTTGACATCGCGGTGGACTCCGACAGTCCAGCCCTTGCTCTTTCCTTCCTTCCCCGTCATCCTCTTGCCTCACCCCGCTTTGCTTACAAAAGCCCAAGAGCCACATCCGTGCCAACATTTGGTTTTGTCGCGTTACATGTTTACCAGCCTACTAGATGCTGCCATGTCCTTGTTCCTAAGGAGGGGAGGCGTCTGCCCTGTGTACATTAGTCATCAAGTTCTGTATCTGGAAATGCTACCTTTTTAAAAAAATTTCCTGTTGGGTTACCTGTATTTTTCTTGTTGATTCATAACAGTCCTTCATATTATAACTTCTTTGTTGTTATTATGTATTGCAAATATCTGATTTGTTGTGTTCATCTTTTTCTGTTTTAAAATGATGTCTTTTCCACAAGATTCATGTTTAATTCTTAAGCTAGACAGTAGATTTGTTAATGTTTATTTTTGTTTTGCTTCATAGCATATGGGTGTCCTACACAAGTTAATTTTCATGAATTGGCTGGTGCTGTGGCTCACTTGGCTAATCCTCCACCTGCAGTGCCGGTACCCCGGGTTCTAGTCCCGGTTGGGGTGCTGGGTTCTAGTCTCAGTTGCTCTTCTTCCAGTGTAGCTCTCTGCTGTGGCCCAGGAGGGCAGCGGAGGATGGCCCAAGTGCTTGGGCCCTGCACCCACATGGGAGACCGGGAGGAAGCACCCGGCTCCTGGCTTCGGATTGGTGCAGCACTGGCCATAGCGGCCATTAGGGGAGTGAACCAACGGAAGGAAGACCTCTCTCTCTGTCTCTCTCTCACTGTCTATAACTCTCTCTCTGTCACTCTCTCTCACTGTCAAACTCTGCCTGGAAAAAAATTAAAAAAAATTTTCATGAATCAAACATTCCCAATGTTTGTATTTTGAATTTCCAGGGCTGGCTTCATTTCCACCTCCTCTACCAGAGTTTCTCTTAAAATTCCATCAAACTTCATCTTGCTCTCAGCACAGAAGTTGATGTGTTCTAATTCCTTCAATAATCTCTTCCTCCACCCAGTTCATAGTGCAGCGCCTGCTGCGCTCTGGGTGCTAGCAAGAACATCTCTGAACAAAGCACGTGCGGTTCTGGATAACAGAATGGGTGAAGACAGGTGAACATGCACCCGGCAGCTCAGCAAGAGCAACACTGACACACAGCAGGGAACAGAGAGGATGGGCCTGGGGCGAACTCGCTTCCAGTTGAGAGGGTCTCCCTGAGAGCTGGCTTCTGAGAACCGCGGGGAGCAGTGGCGAGGCTGGCATTTGGAGCGCTGGGGAAGAAGGAAGGCGAGAATCGAACGTCCTGCGTGGTGGCAGCCTGCTTGATGGGAGCGCAGGCAGCTGGAGCAGGCGTGGCTGAGACAGTGTGGGGAGCTGGGCAGGCGGGGGCCGAGTCTTGCTGCCTGTCTGGCCTCGGGGGACAGGACTTCATGCCTTGTTCCAAGGGCCACGGGAGCCTGGAGGGTCTTAGGCAGTGAAGCAGTAGCGTTCTGTGTCTGCTCTCCAAGACCCTCAAGCTGCTGCATGAAGAGTGGACGGGGGAGGATGGAAAGCCGAGGGGAGACCAGTTAGGAGGCCATTGCAGCAGTCAGCCTGGAGCTGGGAGGCACCAGTGCTGACCCACAGTCTGTTATGGGTACAATGAACAGGGCTTAGTTGGAAGTTGGATGTGAGGGAAGGGCAGGGCAGGAATAAGGATGCCGTTCAGATTTCAGACTTGAGCAGCTGGAGGATGAGGGCAGACTGATGTGGGGTAGAAAAGGTCAGCAGTTCAGTTTGGACTTGTGTGTATATGTATGTTTACATGTTCATTATATTAGAGAGAGAGAGAGAGAGAGAGAGAGAGAGAGAGGGAGAGGTGTTTTATCTGCAGGATCACTCTCCAAATGCCTGTGTAGACTGAAACCAGCAGTCAGGAGCTCCATCCTGGTCACGTGAGCGGCCGGGGACCAAGTGCTTGCACCATCTTCTGCTGCCTTCCCAGGCACATTAGCAGGAAGCTGGATCAGAAGCAGAGAAACCAGGCCTCGAACTGGCACTCTGATATGGGACGCTGGTGTCACAAGTGGCCGCCTAACCTGTTGTGCCACAACGCCAGCTTGAGATGCAATTTACATACCACAAAATTTTCTCTTTTTAAAGTATACATTTCAGCGTTCTGTTGATTTTTAATATATTCATAGAAGTTGTGCTATTATCACCACTGTCTAGTTTAGAATATTTTTATGACTCTGAAAATAAACCTAAACTGGACTGACAATCACTCCTCAGTTCTTCCCAACCCATGAAGTGTTTCCACAAACACTAATTCTGTCTTTGTGAATTTGCCTATTCCAGACATTTGTTATAAATCATCATACAATATCATGTGACATGCAATTTTTTCTTCCCATTCTGTGGGTTATCTTTTCATTTTCTTGAAAGTGTCCTTTGAAGGAAAAAGACTTTAATTTTGATAAGGTCCAATTTATTTCTTCTTTCATTTGTTCTTATGCTTTTGGTGTTATCCCTAAGAAACCATTTACCTAAGTCATGATTTACTCCTCTGTTTTCTTCCCAGAGTTCCAGAGTTTTAGTCTTTACATTTAGGGCTGTGCTCTGTGTTGAGTTAGTGTTTTCTTTTCTTTCTTTTTTTTTTTTTTTAATATGGTGTGAGGTATGAGTCCAAGTTCACTCTTTGTTGTTGTTGTTTGACAGATAGACAGTGAGAGAGAGAGACAGAGAGACAGGTCTTCCGTCCGTTGGTTCACCCCCCCAAATGGCCTCTACAGCCAGAGCTATGCCGATCTGAAGCCAGGATCCAGGTACTTCCTGGTCTCCCACACGGGTGCAGGCGCCCAAGCACTTGGGCCATCCTCCACTGCCTTCCCGGGACTGGAAGAGGAGTAACCAGGACTAGAACCTGGTGCCCATATGGGATTCTGGTGCCACAGGCGGAGGATTAGCCAAGTGAGCCACGGCGCCGGCACCCCTAAGTTCACTCTTGTGCCTGCAGCTGTTTGGTTATCCTGGCATCCTTTGTTGAAAAGACCATTCTTAATTGCTTTTCAGCCTTTTGGCTAAGATGAAGTGAAGACCATTCTTTCCCTCGTTACATTGGTACACTTGTTGAAAATCAACTGACCATCAATGTAAATTTATTTCTGAATTCTCTGTTCTTTCCATCAATCCACAACCTTATGCCAGAACCATACACTCTCAAATACTGTAGCTTTGTAGTAGGATTTGAAATCATGAGTGTGAGTCTGAGTCCTTCAACTTAGTTCTTCTTTTCGGGAGTGTTTTTTTTTTTTAATCCCAGAACTTCTTTTCTTTTCTTTTTCCAAAGAAACCTTTTATTTGAGTAATACAAACAATGCATTTCATAAGTACAGCCGGCTCGATACACAGTCTTCAGAGCTGGGAAGTTACTCACATCTGTTTGCAACCCTAGGGGCTATGATACTGAATAGGAACATCTGCTTTACTGAAAGAAATTGGAGTTACCTTTATCACTGTCTCTGAATTACTTACATGTCAACACAGACCTGAAATTTAGTTTGAAAGTACTGATGGTTAAGAACTGAACTCTCCATTCAAGCTATCAATAGAACAGCAGACTTGTTCAGGATATCACAAATTACCTAGTTTCAATCTCTGAAATATTGAGGTCATAAAAATAGAGGACAATTGCACTTTTTTTCAGTTCTTAATGAGGACATAGTATCACAGAATTGTCATGCCTCTGTATCCTGGGCCTTCACTATACAAGTTTTCTTTTTCTTATTTAATTTTTATTTGAAGTGGGGGGGAGAGCGAGAGAGAGAGAAATAGACATACATATATAGAGAGGCCTTCCATCCATTGCTTCACTTCAAAGGTGCCTCCAACAGCCAGGGCTGGGCCAAGTACCAGCTAGGAGTCCAGATCACAATCTGAGTCTCCCCTGTGGGTGGCAGGGACCCAGCTACTTGAGCCATCATCTCTTATCTCCCAGGGTCTGCATTAGTAGGGAGCTAGAATTGGGATTGGAGCTGGCACTTGAACCAAGGCATGTGGGATGTGGGCATCCCAAGTGGCATCTTCACTGCTGAGCAAAACACCTGCTCCCAAATAGCTTCTTAATAATTTACTTTTATTATCATGGATAATTGATGACAATCACAAAAGCATAGAGAATAATATAATGAACCTTCATAGAACCATCACCCAACTCCGACAATTACACACATTTCCCTGTGTCTCCTATTACAAATTTCTCTGTGGCATTCACATTCCAAAGTATTCTCTCCCCCTTCTATTTGGTTTTACATCCTTTTGCTTCGTGGAAAATGAACTTAGATAAATCTTACAAATAGAAATATTGGAGATGGGTGTTGTGGCACAGTGGGATAAGCTGCATCCTGTATTGCAGTGCCTGGGTCAAGTCCCAGCTACTCCGGGATTCTGCTATAGCTTCCTGCTACTGTGCCCTGGAGGCAGCAGATGATAGCTCATGTGCTTTGGTTCCTGGCCTGGATGGAGTTCTTGGCTGCTGACTGTCGCCTGGTGCAGCTCTGGTTGTCATGGGCATTTGGGGTGTTAATGGCATACATGTCCCCTCTGCCCTCTGTCTTTCCTTCTCTCTTTCTGTCACTCTGCCTTTCAAATAAATGACTCTTAAAGAAATGGAACTGTTGAATTGTAGAGTTCCTGATTTGTTAGAATTCCGGCATAGTTGTAACATTTTGCATCCCGTCCTCGTCTTCAGCCGTTGAAGAAGCACGGAGACTGATTTCCACTGAAGATGTCTGTGGATGTGAAGCCACAGTGGCTTTCCAGGAGAAGGTTAGCTCGTATCTTCAGAGACTCAACACCAAATATATCCTTTCCGGAAGGTTTTCTGCTTCTGCTTGAAGCCACACTAGGTGCTACAACTGACTAAAGATTTTAGGACATTCCACAGGCAAGGGTCCCATTGGTTAAGTTTTAGGACAGGCAGTAGTAACACACAGCTTTTTGTTTTTTAAATTTGTGGTTCTTTGGCAATGGTTTAATACACCATTTTCATCCATGTAATCTTTACAGGGAAAAGCTGCCCAACTGTTTCTTTCTCTAATGCTGTTTCATTCAGTTCTGTTGTATGCTTCCAATCAAGCCCTTATGTAACAGATAGAGGGAATTATACTATAATTCTTTAATATGGCTTTCTTAGTTCATAATCCGTATATACACAGACCAAGTCAGCTCATTAATGGGGTCTAGGATCTCAGATTACACTTGGCTAACAAAGTGATCAAAAAGCAGATTTCAACATCTAACATGCTATGGTCTCAGAGACTTTCAAAAATTAGTTCTTTAGTCAAAAGAGTAACTCAGGAAAAGTACTTTTTACTACACAGCTCAAGTTAATAACGTTGCTCCTATGTACCGGTGAAGAATGGAATCCACACTGTGGTAGGTATAACTAGGGGTATGAAAGGACTTTTGGGGCTGGGGGAGGCACAGTTTTAAAGGAATCGATTTCCAAACCCACCCCTTGCTTAAGAAGCTCCGTGGACTCGACTGGAATTCTCTTAGCTTCATACAAGAAAGGCATTCCCTTCACTACCCTGACTCTACTCAGCTCCATTTCCTGGAAAAGTCAGATCTCCAGAGAACCAAACAAAGGAAGAGTTCAGTGATTCCTGTAACCAAAAGTTCATTATTAATATTGTTTCCCCCACCTACCCCACCAAGAGGTAATTTTAGAATTAAACTTCATATGGGCAAAAGCATTTGGAGATCACTGCAGTGGCCGGATTTTATCATGATCTGAAGGTTAGAATTTCCAAGTTTTAGATAAAGTTGTACTTGGAACAAGAAGGTCTTGTTCTTTTTCTTCATTTATAATAGGATGTAATTACTTTACCTTGAAGCTTTTGCAAGTGCTATCTATGTTTTCTAATGTGTAGAAATAAATGCTGTTGCCTTAACAATGATCCACTTGATGACATCTTGGAGAAGCTGCAAGTAAATTAATACGGACAAATACATCGCTAACTTGCTCAAAATTTTCACCCAGCAGTGTGGAGAGCGTGGCGTACTTAATACTCATTCTTTTGCACACTTGTATCTTCAGTGTTCCTGCTAATAATTTCCCTTCATAAATGCTTGAAAACTACTGGGTAAATAGTATGAGGATCTTCTGAAAACCAGTATCATTTTTCCAAGGAAGTAAAGCTCCTCATTAAGAGCAAACTTTAGTGTCTCTGAGCTACAACTGTGAAGTGTTTGGTGGGAAAGAGAAGAAAAAGTTTACTCTCTTTCTTTATCTACTAATTGAGCCATTTAATTTTAAATGTTTATATTAGTAAGATAAACATGTTCACGATGGAGACTTTAGATCTACTCTTGACAGTATATATAATATAAACCAGTTTTATTACTGAGAGTGCAAATTGTATGCATAAAAAAGTTCATATAATTGAGATAAGTACAATTTAGAAATGTTTCTTTGAACACTTTTTGGCCTTTGCTGAAGTATCATTGAAGTTGTGAGCAAGGGATTGTAATTCATATATCTAAAATGGGATAACAGATCAAGTGAACATTACATGACATTTCTGATTCATTCTGGTCTTCAAAATGCACAAACAGCAACAGATGTGAATTTAGGATGTTAAGCTTTTTACCAAGGACAAAAAAATAAAAATTTATCATTGTGCTTCAATTGATAAAATTATATATTTATAAAGTTGATATAACAAGCAACAAAATCTAACGTTGCTTTTTAATGTCAGCGATACACCTTTTTCACTTATATATTTGAAACCTGTAACTTTTAGAACAAAACAGTCCTTTAAATTGTGTTCTTGGTTTGTACTGTCTTTAATAAAAGTTATTGTCTTTATATATTGTTGTCATGTTTGTTTTTTGGTGACATATCAGTTTTGTTCACTCAACATCTTTCCTTAAACTGAATGAACATTTTGAACGTGTAACCATTTCTTGTCGAAGCAGAGGATGTTGAGACTCTTCCTATAATATAATCTCACACTTCTCATGCAAAAAATGTAAGTTCAGGTTAAACAAAAAGGGTTTAATCAAACATGTATATTGTGGGAGAGGGAATAACATAAAATTTTAAAAAATTAAATAATTCTGAACTTTAATAAATTCCTGAAGAGCAAAGATAACCTATCAATGTAAACCTCAAATATAAACTTTAAGGAAGAAATGAAATAAATAATCCAAGGCAATATGTATTCTTTGAAACTTTTACTTTACAGAATTTTTTAAGGACATGACTTAGAGCTACAATATTATTTTCCAAACTTAAATATGGACACAGAATCAGTAGTACACATTACTGTATCAGAGGAGTGGTACCACACAGGGGATAGCGAGAACTCATGGACAGGAAGGAGAGGTATTTAGAGGGAGGGATGAGTGCCCAAGTGTGAGACTATCAGCAACTAGCTTCACCTAATTATGTTTAACCACGTGACTGGAAAAACCTGGCTTAGATCTGTAATCAGTCCAGACCGGGAGCCTATGAGCAGGTGCCAAGGTATCTTAGGTGTTTGCAGGTAAGTGCTGAAAACACAAAGATACTATCTGAATGGCATACTGTCAGGGCTGGAAAGAATTCCTCAGGGAGACCTGACCTGTGCCCGTTTGGCTCTCAAAGGGCCAGGAGCGGCATAGGGTGTAAGACGGTCTGAGAGGCACAGCCTGGGAGCACCCTGGCTCGCTGGGCGCGAGGGCACCAGTGAAGGCACTTTAGGATGGAGGAGAGATCTGATGTAACAGGGAAAGCACTAGGGACCATTGTCAATCCCAGGACGTGCCAGGCGAGGCAACAGACCCACGTCCGCACGTTTGAAGATTACTTGAGATGGGGAAAGATTCCAGGTGCAGAAACTGATCCTCGTAAATTGCACGCTAGATTAAACTGGTGCAGATCAACAGTGATAATAAGAGAAAACTAGAAGTAAGAAGACGGGTGAGTCCACATAATGTCGCAGGCATGGCTGTCTGGGTCTCTGCCGTCCATGCCTTAGGTTTTGAGTCTCTGAAGCTCTCAGGCGTTCAAAAAGGATAAAGGAGAATGAAAAAAGAAATAAAAAAATAAAACTGGACCAAGGCGAGGGAATACTACACAGCTCAAAATTTTTAAAGGTGGAGGCTGCGCCCCAATGACAGTCATGCGTTCTGTAGGACTGGGGCTACGGCAGCAGCTTAATTAAACTGTGAAAAATCCAAAACAACGAAATCTCCTAATTCCCAAGACACCGGGAAGGTTTGAAACCGCACGTTTGCTCCGCCACTGGGTCCAGGGGCACAAGTATAGCGTACGGAATACAGCGAGCGACTTTCCAAGCGCGCTGGGATTGCGGAGCTTGCAAAAACGTCACTGGGACCCCCTCGGAACGGGAGCCTCTCCTGGGTCACAGCTCCGGACACGGCAGGCGGGGCTACACCGCAAGCGCCCCAGGTGTGGTGTGTTCTCCCGCCCGCGTGCCTACGGCTGGCAACCGCAGCTCGCCCAGCAGCCCCGGGGGAAAGCGGGGAGGCCTGCAGCCTCGGCGACCCGCACCCCGCGTCCCGGCGCGCCTAGGCCCCACCGACGTCTGCGCAGGCGCACGACGCCGGGGAGCCACCGGAAGTGTCCCTGGCCGCCCCGGATGCGACCGGTGGCGGCGGTTGCCAGGGCGACGGGAGCTTCCCCGGGGCGCTGGGGCTGGTGACTGGAGGCGTAGACGTGGACGCGCTTAGCTGTGGCGGGCCTCGAATGCGGCGGGCATCCTCTCGGGGTTCCCAGGATGTTCTTCTATCTGAGCAAGAAAGTGAGTTTCCCAGCAGGCGCCCTCCCGCATGCCCTCGCCAAGCCCGGCATCTTCACCCGGTTCTGGCAGCCAGCGGCCAGCCTTCCCGGCGGGGCCAGCCGTGGGCCTCTTCCGTGGGTCCCAGAGCCCCAGCCAGCGTCTGTCCGAGCGAGCAGCCCTCCCGCACGGTTCTCCCATCCCTGCCCCGGCCAGGTCCTTGTGGGTGGCCAGCAGGACCGACCTCAGGTCCCGCCCTCGCCTTCCTCCTCCGCTTGTTGCTGGTCCAGGCGAGACTTAAGGGGAAAAGAAAAGTGACAAAAGGGTGGCTTACGTTTTGTGTGGGGAGGGAGAACTGATGGGCGCCGAGTCTGCCCGCAATCCCTGCCACTCCGGAAATCCATCAGGTGACACCCGCCGCGGGCTTCCTCTGCTGTCCGTGCGTGTGCGCTTCTTTCCCCCTTCCCCAGTTGGAAGAAGGCCAGGGCACTTCCGGGGACCATGCCCATTTTAATCACAGCTCATTTTTTCTGCAAAGCCATACGTTTTTCTTCTTGGAAGATTTTTTCCCCCGTGGATTCCCAGTTCTCTCGGGAAAAGTTGCTAGAGTGCTGTGGTTGCTTTTACAGATTGCCATTCCCAACAACGTCAAGTTGAAGTGTATATCCTGGAACAAGGACCAAGGGTTCATAGCATGCGGTGGTGAAGATGGATTACTGAAAGTTTTGAAATTAGAGACGCAGACAGGTAAATGCATGCAAGCCCAAGTGTTTGGTTCTGTGGGATTTTTTTTTCCTTTATGGCTGCAGTGGCTATAAACTGTGCCAGTCCAGAGCCAGGAGCTTCTTCCAGGTCTTCCTACAGGGGTGCAAGGCCCAGGCATCTTCTACTGCTTTCCTAGGCCATTGCAGAGAGCTGGATTGGAAGTAGAGCAGCTGGGTCTCGAACTGGCGCCCATATGGGATGCTGGCACTGCAGGTGGTGGCTTTACCCTCTATGCCATAGCTGGTCCTGTGGAATTTGACATGGCATTTGTCAGCATGTGGTTCTGATTCGACTAAAAGGAATAAAAACTCGAACGGCTTGTGATGTTTTTTCCAGTGTGTTTTTGCAATAAAGTTCAGACAGTGTTGGATATAAGCATCAGATGGCTCTTGCTGAAGGTGTTGATGGAAAATGAAATAGAATGAAGAAAGAAAACAGAGTCATTGTGTTCTCTGGAGTTATGTCTCATGATTGTGCTATGCAGCTAGGAGTAGAATAAAAATCGTGAGTTAACATTCCTGTAAAGTCACGGGATCCCACATTTCATTACATGTAACATGTGTTCACGGTTATGCACTTTGGGCCCAAGAACAGAAAATGGAATATGTTTTGCATTTTTGTTAATACATCTCTTGTCTTTGTGGCTTCATTTCTTTTCCAGGTCTCTGAAATCACAGCACAGATTAACATTTTTTTTATAGTCTCCCTATTGTTGCTCCAAACTGGGGATCCAGATCACCCCCGATTTAGTTTGGAGATAGAGATGAGACTGAGTCGCACTCTCAGCTCTGCCACAAGACTCTGCCTGGCTCTCAGCGGGTGCTGCGTGGCTTCAGACTTCTGTTCACACTTCTGTAAAGTGAGGGGTTAAGTTAGGTTGCCTTTTGGAGTCTTTGCATCGTTGCCTCTCCTACTTTATTGGGTGTAAGAATCACTAGAAGAGATTGCTAACGTGGATTTCTGGCCTCTAATCCCCAGAGCAGATCTGGGATGGGGCCTGCGCATTTGCGTTTCTAGTGGTGCTCGTGTTGCTGGCCCTCAGACCGCACTTTGAGAAGCACTGCCTTGAACTTTGAACGTAGTACAAATCACACACACTTACTTGCTATTTCCCCATACTGACGTGTAACCATTGCCGTTTCACTGGACTTCACAGGAGTCTTGAGAGGAAGGTGTTCCAGGTGAGAAATGGGGGCTCTGATTAGTTACTAACTTCCCAGGGTCACACAGTCTAGAAGTGGTAGAGCTGGGACTTGAAACTAACTTGGCCTCACTTTTAAGTCCTTATTTGTAACCACTTTCCAGAGGGCGCATGGACAGCATACACAGAGAAGAGAATATTTGTTTTGATGTGGTAGATTAATAACATAAAGGGCAAGATTGGAAGATACAAGTACCAATCGAAGTTCAGCTTCTGATGTTTTGTAGTTTAATCTCTCAGTGTTTTAGTTTTCTTAACAGTGTTAAAAACGAATTCTTTCTATTATGGTTCTCAGATGTCTGTATAGATGTTCATATGTATGTATTATGTTCTTATTTTGCTTAAAATCTGTGGTAAGTTTCAGTTACTTTAAGAAATACACTGGGGCTGGCATTGTGACAGCGGGTTAAGCTGCCACCCGCGATGCGAGCATCCCATATGGGTGCCAGTTGGAGTCCTGGCTGCTCCACCTTGATCCAGCTCCCTGCTAATGCATCTGGGAAAGCAGCAGAAGATAGGCCAAGTCCTTGGACCTCTGCACCCATGTGGGAGACCCTAATGAAGCTCCTGGCTCCTGGCTTTGGCCTGGCCCAGCCCTGGCAGTTGTAGCCATTGGGAAGAATGAAACTGAGGATGGAAGATCTCTTTTCTTTCTCCCCTTCTCTGTGATTCTGCTTTTTGAATAAATAAATAAAGCTTTTTTTTTTTTAAAGGAACACTGCAACATTGAAGGCTTTTTAAAAAAAGATTTATTGTATTGAAAGGCAGAGTGACAGAAAGGAAGAAACAGAGAGGGAGAAAGAACTTCCATCTGTTGGTTCACTTCCCAAATGGCTGCAATGGTTGGGGCTGGGCCAGGTACCAAGAACTCCATTTGGTGTCACATGTGAATGGCAGGGCCCCAAAATACTTGGGCCATCTTCTTCTACCTTCTCAGATGCACTGCCTTCCTGCTATGCACTTTTGATGAGTTGTGGTCAGAGTATTCTTTGGACTTAGTGAGCAAGATTCATGGGAGATTTGGGAGATGGGGTTGTCGCTCCCCCTCTTCGTGGAGGAACGACACAGGACCCTGCGCTGTTCTTTTGTCTGCTCGGCCCTCCCCGGGTTTGCTGCTGGTT